TTTTTCATTTAAAAATAAATTACATTATTACATATGTAGATAAAACACGTCACAAATAAATGATTGGTCGGCGGTCACACGAACTGACGAATCAGTCAAAATGGTCCATATATTAAACACACAGAGGAGGGACCGATTCGATGGTTCGTTGACCGTCGACGATTAATTAATCATGTAAATATTCTAACGCCCACAAATATCCTGGAATTCAATGTTCGTAGAAAAAAAATTAATTGAATAATTGACCTTAAATGTATTTAGATATTGTCGCTGATTGTTTTATGCATGTGATTATGAAATATGTTCACGATATGTAACATATATTTATAATTATGTACGCTATTAGTGACATTGGAACGTTGGATTGCGATGTTATATTTTCATGAGTGCGTGAATGAATTACCTTTCTTCATGTGATGAACGTATCAATTACTTATACTGAAGACTACCAATTGGTACGCGGTACACGGTGTGAATTCATGAGAACGAAATTTATTCAAAGGCAAATACAAACAAAACACATATATATTACAGTTTTCCCTACTTCTGAAACACTCAACTCCCATAGATCACTGTATATAAATAACATGAACCTACCTGATTTTGGTCAGTACACACTTTCGTAACAGAAGAAGCAGTCCTTGCCACTTGCTTTTATTGTTCTATGCTTTTGATTTCTACAATATCTTCTGGTCTTTCTGGATATTGTACTACAATGAAGTAATTGATATATCTGCCTGATTTAAGTGCTCAATATTAAGAACGTCTCCGTCACAGTTTTGTTTATTGCTGTGATTTGTTGTAACTTTAGTGTTCTGACACTGCTCATTACCATGGAGGTACAACCACGAGAGAGGGGACTCCCCCGAAAGAAATGTCAGAATTAATCTCTAATCGAGAATCTAGGACACCTACCCCCCTGCCAACTACCCCCAGCTAACTACCCCCTAGAATGATACCCCCCCCAGCTAACTACCCCTGGACATCTACCCCGGACATCTACCCAAAGTCAAGTACCCCCCGGACATCTATCCCCGGGCAACTACCCAGGCACGTAGCCAGAGTTTGATATTTGGGGGGGGGGGGAGGGGAATATACATTAAATCGATCGAGGTAAAAAAAAGGGGTCTACAAAATTTCAACCGATCCTGGAAATTTTAGGGGGGCACGTGCCCCTCCCCCCCCGTGGCTACGCGCCTACAACTACCCCCAGACATCAACCCCCCGTCAAATACCCCCGGAAATCTACCCCCCCCCCCAATCCAACTATCCCCTTCCAACTACCCCCAGCCAACTACCCCCAGCCAACTACCCCACCCTGAAAACTACCCCCAACTACCTTAATTTGCTTGGGGGTAGATGTCCGGCGGGGGGGGGGGGGGGGTAGTTGGAGGGGAGTAAGTTGTCCAGGTGGAGGGGTAGTTGGAATGGGTAAGATGTCCGGGGGTAGATGTCCGGGGAGGGGGTAGTTGACTGGGGGTAGATGTCCGGGGGTAGTTAGCTAGGTGGTAGTTATACCCATGCTTTATTACAGGGTTTTTGTTTTGAACAAATTCGACAAAATATCCCTTCAAATTTATTACGTTTGTGGGTAAAGTCATTATTACATTTGTGGGTGATTCAAAATATCACTTCAAATTTATTACATTTGTGGGTAAAGTCATTATTACATTTGTGGGTGATTCAAAATTATTACATTTGTGGGTAAAGTGGTTATTACATTTGTGGGTGAAATTATTACATTTGTGGGTAAAGTGTTATTACATTTATGGGTGTTGTTACATTTGTGGGTGTAACAGCGTCCCGTATTCGATGAGGTTTATAATAATCTACATTTCATATGAGTTTAAGCAAATTTAAAGCAAGTTGAAATTAGCAGCGAATGTATTAAAGGCCGAAACCCCTTTCACCGATATACTCTCCACGTTATTCGCTATTAACGAAAATATTTGTTCTGGACGTTGGTTGATATGCGCTTAAATAAAACCTTTTTAATGTCGGCTGCTAGAAGTTTTGCACCCCGTATTCAATGTAGTATATAATAATCTACATTTCATGTGACTTTCAACACATTTAAAGCAAATGGGAAATTAGCATCGAATGTATTAACCCCCACCCCTTTCTATATACTCTAAACGTTATATGCGCTATCCGTTTAGGTTTGTTCTGGACATTGGTTGATATGCGCTCAAATAAAACCTTTTTAATGTCAGCTGCTAGAATTTGTGCACCCTGTATTCGATGAGGAATATAATAATCTACATTTTATGTGAGTTTCAGCACATTTAAAGCAAATGAGAAATTAGCATCGAATGTATTAACCCCCACCCCCTTCTAAATACTATAGACGTTATATGCGCTATATTTTTAGGTTTGTTCTGGACATTTGTTGATATGCACTCAAATAAGACCTTTTTAATGTCGGATGCTAGAATGTTGGCTCCCTGTATTCGATGAAGTATATAATAATCTACATTTCATGTGAGTTTAAGCACATTTGAAGCAATTATGAATTAGCGGCGAATGTATTAAAGGCCGGAACCCTTTTACTGATATACTCTCCACGTTATTCGCTATCAACGAAAATATTTGTTCTGGACATTGGTTGATATGCGCTCAAATAAGAACATTTTAATGTCGGCTGCTAGAATTTTTTCATCCCGTATTCGATAAGGTATATAATAATCTACATTTCATGTGACTTTCAGCACATTTAAAGCAAATTGGAAATTAGCATCGAATGTATTAACCCCCACAACCTTCTAAATACTCTAGACGTTATATGCGCTAAACGTTTAGGTTTGTTCTGGACGTTGGTTGATATGCGCTCAAATAAAACCTTTTTAATGTCGGCTGCTAGAATTTGTGCACCCTGTATTCGATGAGGTATATAATAATCTACATTTCATGTGAGTTTCAGCACATTTAAAGCAAATGGGAAATCAGCATCGAATGTATTAACCCCTACCCCCTTCTATATACTCTAGACGTTATATGCGCCAAACGTTTAGGACTGTTCTGGACATTGGTTGATATGCGCTCAAATAAGACCTTTTTATTGTCAGCTGCTAGAATTTTTGCACCCCGTATTGGGTGAGGTATAAAATAATCTACATTTCATTTGATTTTCAGCAAAATTAAGGCAAATGGGAAATAGCAGCGACTGTATTAAAGCCCGAAACCCCCTTCACCGATATACTCTACATGTTATGCGCTATACATTAAGGTTTGTTCTGCCACATTGGTTGATATGCGCTCAAATAAGACCTTTTTAAAGTCGGCTGCTAGAATTTTTGCACCCCGTTTTCGATGAGGTATATAATAATCTACATTTCATGTGAGTTTAAGGACATTTAAAGCAAATGGGAAATAAGCAACGAATGTATTAACCCCCACCCCCTTCTATATACTCTGGACGTTATATGCACCAAAAGTTTAAGTTTGTTCTGGACATTGGTTGATATGCACTCAAATAAAACCTTTTTAATGTCAGCTGCTAGAATGTTTGCACCCCGTATTCGATGAGGTATATAATAATCTACATTTCATGTGAGTTTCAGCACATTTAAAGCAAATGGGAAATCAGCAACAAATGTATTAACCCCCACCCCCTTCTATATACTCTGGACGTTATGCGCCAAACGTTTAGGTTTGTTCTGGACATTGGTTGATATGCGCTCAAATAAGACCTTTTTATTGTCAGCTGCTTGAAACTTTGCACCCCGTATTGGGTGAGGCATATAATAATCTACATTTCATGTGATTTTCAGCAAAATTAAGGGAAATTGGAAATAGCACCGTCTGTATTAAAGCCCGAAACCCCCTTCACCGATATACATGCGCTATACACAGGTTTGTTCTGCCACATTGGTTGATATGCGCTCAAATAAAACCTTTTTAATGTCGGCTGCTAGAAATTTTGCACCCCGTGTTCGATGAGGTATATAATAATCTACATTTCATGTGATTTTCAGCAAAATTAAGGGAAATTGGAAATAGCACCGTCTGTATTAAAGCCCGAAACCCCCTTCACCGATATACATGCGCTATACACAGGTTTGTTCTGCCACATTGGTTGATATGCGCTCAAATAAGACCTTTTTAATGTCGGTTGCTAGAATTTTTACACCACGTATTCGAAGAGGTATATAATAATCGATATTTCATGTGTTTTTCAGCATATTTAAAGCAAATGGGAAATTAGCAACGAATGTATTAACCCCCACCCCCTTCTATATACTCTGGACGTTATATGCACCAAAAGTTTAAGTTTGTTCTGGACATTGGTTGATATGCGCTCAAATAAGATCTTTTTAATGTCGGCTGCTGGAATTTTTGCACCCCGTATTCGATGAGGTATATATCAATCTACATTTCATGTGAGTTTCACCACATTATAATCCCTAACATTGTGTCCAGTGCTGTTGACGGTCAAAGCCTATAGCAAATAAATTATCTACCAGCAAGAGTTCTTAAAATGGAAAGGAAAATAATCTGGATGTGAGCAAAACCACCTTTCACTAAACTGCATAATAAAGCACAAAGCAGAGTTTGTTTCTTACAATGGAAGTATAATTGAAGAAATGAAAATGGATAGAGAGAGAGAGAGAGAGAGAGTGTGTGAGGGGGGGGGGGGGGGGGGGGGGGGGGGGCTGGGATTTGTCAAACGTATGATAAGGGGAAGGGTACGTGTCGTACTCATATAGGACATAGTGGCCCGAATTCACAAAGGAGGTTTGTCGTCAAACCTTGGCTTTCGTACGTCATAATTATGACGCGTTTTACGCGTTTTTTACAAACCTGGTTTTTAAAGAACAAAACTGGAGGTTTGGCGAAACAAAAGGAGGTTTGAGCTCAAACCTTGGTCTGAGCTCAAACCTTGCTTTGTGAATTCGGGCCAGTATCTCTATGGTATGATCGCGGAAACTACCGCGGGTGTCGCCAAATGCGGGACTTGCGCGCATGGGTTTATACCCGCCAGAGCTAGAGCCGTATCAGGCTGAATCACTACACATCCATATATTTGCGCGTAGTGAAAAGGCCTATGCAGCTGAGCCAACAAAACCTTCCTTTAGCTTTGGCTTTGTTGATATTTTGTGATCCGAAGACAAGACGTGTTTCCAAATTGCTGTAGAAGTATAGGCTCAAGCTACGGTAAGTGTGATTTTGGAGTAGATCTTGTTCTATAGGCCTAGACGTTTTCACTCTTTTCTTTGTTTCAGAAACTTGGCTTAAAAAAGGGACTTTGCAACATTGTTCAGATGAGAGGAAATGTATTGCTCTAACAGTTAGACCTAGACCCTAGACCGAAAATGTCTGTCTCTTTAAGACTTTAGTTCGTTAGCCTCTTTTTTTCCTCCTTTTTTTTCCTCCTTTTTTTTGTTGTTATTTCTGAAAAACTTAACAAAATTTAAAAAAAAATTATAGGCAACAATAGATCTAACTTTAGATCTAGGTAATAGATCCTATGTTCGTTAGCGACTCACAAATATTAATAAAGAAGCCAACGACCAACGACCATCGACCAAAGACTCGGATCTAACTTAGGGCCTCTTAGAGGCTGTTCACACCGGCAGAGATAGCGCGGTCTAGCGCGCGCTAGACCGCGCTGTCTCTGCGGTGTGGAAGGTACAACGTCGTTTCGATCCGCCCAACAGCGAGCCACGGCGAGTCACGGCGAGCCAAGACTGGAGCACCTCTTGGGGGTGGTCTACGAGAGAGAGCGCGATCTAGCGCGCGCTAGACCGCGCTATGTCTGCCGGTGTGAACCCGAGCTACGATAGCACGCCGGATTTCATCGTTCTACACGCGGGGAATTTTATACTCATTCTATTTTGGTGCGATCTGAATCTGAATCGGTACAATAGGCCATTTTCGTAATGTAACCAAATGTAATGCATAAGTGTTTGTGAGGTGCCTTAATACAAATTATTTCATTCACCTGATGGGAACAATATAGTATTTCAATAGTCAGAATGCAACTGCATATATTAAGTGTTGCTATATAGGTAGGTCAACCATAATGCTTGTCCAACCTGACAACAACTAATGTATGCAGTTTGGATTCTGTCTATTGAAACACTATTATTCTTATCAGGTGAATGAAATAATTTGTATTGAGGCACTTCACAAAGACGTATGCATTAAATTTGGTTACATTACGAAAATGGCCTATTCAACACTCCTAGTTCGTAATAGCGCGCGAAATCTTTGACCGCTCTGACCTCATGACGTCACGCGTCACGACAACAGGACCTCTCAAAAAAGGGGGTGCTACGATCTCATTGCGGTGTGGATCCGGCGAATGCCAATGGGTGGACCGTGGGTCGCGCTACGATAGCGCGATCCACGGTCCGCCCACGGTCCCCCCTTGCGGTGTGAACACGCCCTTAGAAGCCAATGACCAACGACCATCGACCAAGGACTCACAAATATTAAAAAAGAGGCCAACGACCTATTGACCACCCACAAATACTAGTCTAGTCTAAGCACAAAACTAATTTTTTCTTTTGTATTTTTAGAACGAGACATTACTTGTTGATTAAAATATCTAATAGGGTCATTGAAAGCAGACTAGCAGTGTAAGAGAGGGCACAAGGTACAAACAAATACGTGTGTGGGACTGAACGGGCTGGACATTTTGTGTTACTGAAATGTGCTTAGAATTCAGGTAATTCATCTATTAAATGACTATAACAGACAATAAACAAGACAAAGGTAAGGACAAGAATCAGTGCTTATCAATATAACGGACATTTTGCATGAAATACCATCAGGAAAGCCATCTAGATTTGTCACAAATTAGCGACAAACACACCAAATTCAGCACTGCAATGACGCACAAAACGGCGTAGAATTCAACTTTTCATCCACCAAATGAATTCAAACACTTGCATTATACAATCTTCAATACCTGTATCACCGTTATTGCAAATAATAAAATCACAATCTATATCTACGGCTAATAATATATGAAGACTAACAATATGGTAGGGTATTCCCGGCCCCCCCACTCAGAGGTCGGAATGACCGCATGCGTGTTGCCAAAATGTCCGGTAAAGGGGTACTTTTCGTGCGACAAAGTCCGGCCCGAGATTTGTAAAAAAAGGGGTGTATTTGACTTTTCACCCGGAGATTTCTTTAAAAAGGGGGTGTTTTTCTTTTTCTCTCTTATCTCTTTGGACTCCTGAGAAATTATTCCGAATTTAGGGGGTACATTGAGAAATTTTCCTGATTTAGGGGGGTCTCCATGGCAGAAAAAGCCAGCGAAAAGCCCGCGAAAAGGGAGTTCGGAAATGTTGGCAGTCCTTAGATAGGGGGTGCTTTCAAAAAGAGGGTACGAGCATATGCGTACCCTAAATAACACTGAGAGGGGGGGCCGGGAGGGTATTCTGCGATTAGGCCACTAAATATAAATCAAAAGTCTGATCTTATATTCAGATGAAGACAACAATGTTCAACAATTCCCAATTTTTCTACAATTTTGATGTAGGTCTAAGTTGCTTCATTTATTCTGCAATTGTACTGTCTGATATAGCACCAAATGTTGCAGTCAATCACTCTCATCTGTCCTATGTTGTGGTCAAGGCCATGCTCAGTTTAATTTTCCCTTCCCTTTCGCTTTATCTCCCTCTATAGTCTGGTAGATAAAAGCCATTTCCTGGTTGACTGTATTATACGGACACATGTTCCTGTCATTACACTCCATTTACTGTACTTGTCAACACTAATTCTAAAAAAACACTTATCGAGAGGTGCAAGTTCATGCTCAATACATGTTAATGTGTTTTTCCTTGTACATGTATGTACAAGGTGTGTTTAATCAGTTTGTGTGTGTGTGTTTTTTGTTGTTGTGAGGTTGTAGATTTCATTAATGAGAACAGTCGTTGTAATCATTTCACATCCTGTTTTCCCTCACCTTATGAATCAAAAGTAGTACAATTATGTACTTTTTTTGTGATATGTGAGAATATTTATTCAGTGCTGTTTTCTATGTGAATGTATTTCCAAAATTTATTTTGAGAAATCCAGGAAATAAAGAATAATTTCCCTTAGCCTTGAAGGCTTGAACCTTGTTTTTTTCTTTCCTTCTCTCTTTGTCTTTATTCTGTTTTTATTATTATTTTTTTTACCTCTTTAGGTGGTCTGTCATCGATAGACCACCTATTGATTTCGTCAGAAATTTTTTTTTCTTTATATTTTTTTTATATTTTTTTTTATTTCTCCACACTTTTTTGTGTAGAGGATATCTCAAGACCAGTTCAGTCAATTTCTTTCAATTTTGGCACAGTCATTATCATGAGACATGAAAATAACATTTTCAGAGTCATCAGATCTTCATGACGTCATCCAGGCGCCATTTTGTGAAATTTTCTGAAAATTAACTCATGAATATATCTTCATAAGGGAAAGTCATTTCTCATTCATATTTAGCATGATCAAGGTCAATATCCGTCTGGTCAACTTTAGGTCAATAAACGCGGGAGTACGCGACATCCGCGCGTCGTCCACGCGCAAAATTTCAAAATGCTCAAAATCATTTTTTATTCAAAATAAGGCCATTTTAAGCATTTCAAAATTTTGTGCGCGCTTACGACTGTTTCCCGATGTTTATATTTTTCCAGTTATTCAGCCCAGGTATATGCAATGTTTATGCTTCTCCCACAGACATGGAATTGTTTACATGTCTATAACTTCTGTCTTTCTCTATATAGTAAATATTCAATTCTATTTATGCTGGAAATATTGAATGCATCGTTTTCCATTTCATCTCTCTCTCTCTCTCTCCTAGCTGTCAAGATTGCTCTGTTTTCCTTCCCCCTCTAGAGAGCAGTCACTCTGTCTCTCTATTTATATTCTAGTACTTCATCTCTTTCTTGCTCTCTACTCTTTCACCATCTCCTTCTCTCAATCTGTCTTGCTCTCCCTCTCCTGCTATATTGCCTCCCATTTATTCTATTGCTCTGTATCCCAAGCTCTGCCTCTGTAGGTCTTTCTTTACTCTATCGCCCCTCTCGCTTTCTCGCCTCTGGTTCCTGTTTTCCTCTTTGATGTCTTAGGATGTTCCTTAATTTTCTGTAGCTCTTTCCTTTCCTTTGCCCTTTGTATTCTTATTTCACCCCTACCCTGTTTTCTTATACTATCCTCTCTCCTTCCCAGTGCGTGCATTTTGATTACTCTTTTACCCCTCTATCCAGCTCATGTATTTGTTTTACATGACTATACCCCCTCTCCCTACATGTATGTAGTAGTGTAGTAATAGCTCTATACAGAGCAAATTTATTTTTCATTTCTTTAACATAATATAAACAATGACAAACAATAATAAACGTAATGATATAACAGAAGTGAGCGTGGAAATATCTTTAATATTGTTTTTGGTCGTTGTAATGCAAACTGATATGGTTACTACTGCCAAACTTCTCTCTCTCTCTCTCTCTTCATCTCTTCATCTCTCCATACATGTATGAGATCCTTTAAAAAACGTCCAGACCACCTCATTTGTCTTCAGTGACGAATTCTTATCTCGTTTGTCTTTCTTTCTTTAGTTTTTAGAAGACGAGAAGGCAAGGAAAGAAATGCCCTTTATTAAATATAGTCTTCCAGTATTTTTTTTTTTTACTTTGAGATGGTTTTAGTAATGTAGCGAGTAAATATGCTGATGCGTATTGACCTCTAGCACGGTATACTTGCTGAGAGGCAGCACGATTTAAATTTTCAAAGTATTCTTTCTAACATCGGTAAGTTGAAACAAGGGAAACGCTCCGGGCGGTCTCGCCTGCATTACGCAATTTGATATGATAAAAAATTGAAGTTGGAACATTATTTATAGGAAGGGTGGCCCATTAACAGACCCCCAAAAATGAAATCCTCTGAATATAATCAGCCTTTTGAAGTGAATATAGCCCAATTGTTTCCTCTATATTTGAATGGAATAATAGATAATACAATGAGAACGGCTTCTTCTGTCAATTCATTTGTGAATGGCTCAGCTGAACATACACTACGTGCATGTTCTGTAATATTAACATGATTTATTCACATAATTGCGACTTAATCAATAGTTTCCTATTGGCATTACAGTTGAACTACTGTAGGTCAATAAGAAAAATGTTTTTTTTCAAACGAGTATTCGTTTGTGCCACGTCTATCAT